TAGTCCTGAAGCCACAGTGTAAGAAATTGAAGACATATTTAATATTATAGCAAAAAATAAAAAGAAATAAAATACCAGTATAATAAAAAAAAATACTGATTCACTAATCACCTACATAATCCTGTGTACTAGCCTGATCAAATTATTACAGCCCAATTCTGAATACTCACGGGAATTTGTTTCTCCCGAAAAAGAATTCCACCAATAATTAACTCCCAGGGAGTAGCATTTTCCTCAGGGAATTTTTATTTATTAGGAGGAAAGTGAAAGCAGAAAAACTCCCGGGGAGTTTCTGTTCAGAATAGGCCTGATAGCTGCTCAATTTAGTGAAAATCGAATTGAGAAGCTTAGGAAAGCCAGAAAATTCTCCATAGAATGCTACAAGTCAAAATTATGGCAATCATACAAAGATGCAAGGAAAAAGTATAAAACGGCGGTAAAGAGGATCTGCCGAACTTAACAAATTCGTGTCTTGATAACGTACCAATACAACCTCTATTAGAATAGGAGATGATGCATGGGCACCACCTATGTAGGAGGGCCTAAACGGGCCTATTGCTATCATCAAAAGAATTACTGAACTCGATTGTGGACAAAGAAAGAACGAAATTCGCAATAAATCATTTTCCTCCGTACCTTAGTTACACATTCCTCCAGGAAGTAAAGGAACCTACCGTAGAAAGGGTGAACAAAGTAAGTTTGACTTATATTCTACAAAACTGGAAGAGTGTCAAACCGGCAAAAAATTCATGAAAAAGTGAAAGTCTTCAGGGCGAAGAGTCGTATATCCTGCCTTCTAAAAATACTGTAAAGACCCTTTTATGTAGATCCAAACTAACGGGAGCCCACCACATATAGGCAGGAATCCTATTAGGAATTTAGACTGCCTTGGCCCAATGGCTAAGTATCCGAACGTTGCATTGAATACCAAACTGAGCTGGAATAAAAATGTCTAAAGACGCAGAGAAAGAACATATATAAACTATTATACATTATGCAAGGCCGTCTTCAGTAGAATTTGAATACTAAAGCCAAAACTTGCCCTGAGGATGTACAAGGCTATAATAAGGCCAATATTCACATGCGGTACGTTAGTATGATGGCCAGTACTAAATATCGTAGATAAGCAATACACACATACAATGTCAGACAAATTAGTAGGATTCAACGAGCAAATTGTGCAGGGGCTACGAGAGTAATTAAGTATAAGAAATTTTCAACCAGACTGAAATAGTCAGGCTGTTGGATGTCGAAGCATTACGAATATAATGGTATTCTTTATAAGCTTTTAGAATCAGGCAAACAATCAGATTATACTCAGAAGGCTAAGTGGGTGTTAAAACACGTCCGGAATTCCCGCTATCAAATATTGCACGAATCTTTATTCCGCTACCTATTTACAAGATTTAGTCCTGGGCGGTCATGCCTTAAGGGCTAGACCGATAACTCGGTAACATATCGTCACTAGACACGAATAAAGGCGCGAGCTGAAAAGTTGATCGCGAAAAAATGCGCATAAAAAAACTTCAGCGAAGAAAGACTCTTAACATAGTTGACGGCGAAGAAAGATGCGTTAAAATATTTGATGGCGAAGAAGGACGCGTAAACTTATTTTCGCGGTCAACTATGTTGGCGGTTGTAATAGTATGTACATTCCGTAAAGACTTTTGGCGAATAATGCTGAAGTGGCAATCCTTGGCCAAGTATAAATCTATGATTACGCGTCTTCCTTCGCCGAAGTTTTTATTATGCACGGGTTCGTCTCTAGTGACGATATGTTATAGACACAATCGCCTTATGCCTAGTTTACAATAACTTAATGCTTATTGCAGATACTCTTACAATAAACGTCATGTTTGTCTGCCCATTTTATGAAGACAATATATCTATTATAATAGCATCGTTTACTGATGACCAGCTGCGACAAAACAACCAAGTTGATATCACGTTGAGCTCAAAAAATGCTTGGAATCCAGTAAATACGGCAATTGAAGAAATAAACCAGAAGGTCAGACGAGAAACAGCTAGCCGAAGAGACGTTCGGGAAGGTAAGAGCGTAAGCGAACGTGACTATGGTGGTTGGGTATAAATGGACCCGACTAAGGTGCGTTTTTTATATCTTATTTTAAAACAAAACGGAGACTGTTCCAAGTTGATGCAACTTTTCAACAGTCTGCGCTTAAACCACCTCCCGACTAAATCCCTGACGGCAATATCAGGGTGATTGGTACTTAGACAGAAGAAGGTTTAGATCGGTTAAAGTTCCACACTGACTGTCTCTCGTAAACAAAAACCGTACAAAAAATCTAAAATAGTAAGTGATTGTCGGTGTGTGATATTTAATCTTGATGACCAGATCGATAGTATCTTGCTAACGTACACAGTAACGAGGGGACTCATAAATTAGCTAGGATCAAAGCATCTGATAACGAATGAAGGGCGGAAGACTTCTGATGGAGGTAAAGAGAAAATATAATCAACAGACACGATCACGGGACAGAGGTGACTTGCTGAGCATGCAGCAACTTTCAACGATAGCCCTAATCTCAACGAAAGTAGGGAAACGTCTAAAATTAACTCTGGCGAGAGCGCGTCACTGGCTCGTCTAAAGGAAATTTCTAAAAACTACATTACTAACATAAGTAGATTCAGCGAAAAGTCAAGGTGGTTTGATGAAACTAAAAAATCGCGAAAATCGATACTATCATAGGTCGCAGAGAAACCGTATTATAATGGTGCTTACAGCGCTGTTAGTTCTTGTGCGATACATAAGGTATAAGGGTCTAAAATTCAATTTTTCAACGCAAAAGTGAGTAGACTATGAGAATCCTAATAAGACCGTGAAACTTACCCAGCTGCAACGACGAGACGCCAGGCCAAGCATTCAAAAAGTTTCCACGCGCACGTCCGTAATTCAAACACTTCACTCCCGGCGTCGCTGGCGAATGATTTGAGGCAATAATATCCAAGCAACCAGCTTTCAGAGCGTCCCATAACCGGGGCTGATTTGACTTGACGCGTATCGGAGGCTGGGCTTTGAACTCGGTATGACAATCTTCGATTTGCTCTGCAGACAATGCAAGGTAATGGGGACAAGTTTCAGCAGTCAGATTTGCGCCGGCGCGTTTGCATTGCGCCACAATGGGCAACACTTCGGCGGAGCTTATGTTCATGATATGCATATGTTTGCTGGAACATCAAGAAAACGAATGTATCTTATGACTTTTTTGTTGTAAATTTCAACAAGCGTAGATATCTACCCCTTATTTGCCGTGGCCAATTGACTGATCAGTTGCACGGCATTTACTTCCATTTCCTCGGGACGTGTGCGCAAGAAGGACTCATATTTCTTGGGTTCTTCCTCATTGGGCTCTATGGCATTCTTTAGAGGCAACTCGGCATTAAACTGTATATATTAAGAAGTGGTTAATTCTACATTCTTCATTACTCATTTAAGAGCTTCATTACTCATTAAGATGCTTTCGTTTCGGGGATATTTTTTCACAAAACTTTACTAAATGTACTTGTATTGGTTTCCTAACACCTTTCGGTCTCATAGAAACGAAAGCATATCAAATTCTATGTTCACATTCTTACAGCTATAACTGTGCCATCTTCCAGCTTATCGATCACATCTTCAAGATCCTTACGATTTATGGCGGGAAAAGCATCTCCAACTGGTGCCGGTGTGGGCGAAAGTGTGCACTGCAGTCCGATAACGCCAGCGCCCAGCAACGGATCAGCTTCTTTGACATTCTCAGGCACTAGGCCACCCCAAAATCCGACATCCACGTAAAGCTTTCCACGCGCCACACCAGTTTTCGTTTTTAGCGCCGCCACGCTGGTGGTGGGCGGTATGGTGTTACTAAAACGAAAAGTTAGTTTATCAACAAAATTTGTAGCACAGCTGTCGAAAAGTATACACGTACGTAGGTCTATCGATGATCGTGGTGAAACCGCCGGCAGCTGCTGCTTTTGTTGCCGCCATAAATCCCTCCCAATCCTTACGCCCCGGCTCGCTGATATTCACATTGGCGTCTATCAGACCCGGCATAAGCACTTTGTCGCCAAAATCATAGACCTACGACAAACCCAAACAAATAGTGCATATTTTTAAAGATGCTCTCTAACAGCCGCCTGCTAACCAGCAAAATGCTTTATTTCTCTCTTTTTTGCTCACCGCTTCCGATTCCGTGTTGTATACATAGGTATTCACCTCTTGCGCAGTGCGCAAAATCTTGCGTATGATGCCCTCTGTGTCGACAATAATGCCACCATTGAGGAATTCCCGTTCGGTGCCCAGGAAAATTCGCTTGCTTAGGAAAAGTAAATCCATTTTACAACTTCGTTTATGGAGTAAATGTTTTCTTATGATGGAATCGAAATCACTGTTAGCCTTTATTGTTGGTTAATAAGTATCTACTTGGTTGGATATGCAAATGTAGAAAGTGTTTATTTTTATTGGATTCTATATTTAGAATGATTTTCCGCGTTGTGTATTTTCATACGCGATCACTGAATAGAACTGAATGAGCGAATAAAGGCAGCAGTGTTTTTCACAAAACTTTCACTTTAATTTTTTGTAAAGTGCAAAAGCTTCAGAAAGGTGAAAACTCGAAAAAAGCTTTTTATTTATTTGATAAGGAATTGATTACGGTTGTAAAATTTAAGTCATCCAACTGAATCATTTGATTCAAAAAGCGACTTGTAAACTAACAAGTAGAATAAAGGAATTTGTTATTTCGCTTCTATTTCGTGGTTGGCGCAGTAAGTGATTTAAACCGTGTCCAATAAAGCACGCCAGTCTCTTCTGTAGCAAATGACGCCAATTGGAAAATCCAAGTGAAGCCAAGTCCTTCCAAACCTAGTTTTCTAACGCAGAGAATGCTCCTCCTCTCCTACCACCAGCGGGTACCGCGTTAATTACTTTCAAGGCTTACTATGTCCATCCTTTCGACAAGACCGTGCCAGCGAAGTCCTTGTATTTTAACCCGGTGTGCTCTGTTCATGTCATTGTAAATCTCAAACAGCTCATCGTTCCATCGACTGCGGTACTCGCTGTAAATCTTCCGCAACATCTTTCCCTCGAAAAATTCAATGGTCGCCTCATCGGATGTTGGCGTTGGCCATATTTCTGAGCCATATACCATCACGGGCGTTAAAGGTGAAATATGTAGAGTGTAGTTTTTCGTACGACGAGCGAGGCTGCCACCATGATCGATATTAATGATAGTTCCTTAACATACGAAGTTCTCTACCTTTTCAAAATTATTACTGTAACAGTGTCGTTTTGTCTTCGTTCACCTTCAGGCTCACGCGCTTTGCTTCCATATCAGACTTGGAAGGTATGATAGGCAGTTGCGATGTATGAAGTCTATTTTGGTAACGAACGGCTCGGACAGGTCTTTCCCAACGCTGTCGGAGCAGGTGTTTTACAAAGCCGTATTAGTTTCTCGTGGAAACCAAATTCAGCAATCCTTTTTGCGCTGTCTAAAGCGACTTCTAATTCAAAAAGACAATGATTTGCGAAAATCTTTTTCTCGCGGGATTTTTCCAAGATTTGGTGTATGGCCACACCGAAACGGGAATGTCAGTTCGTCGATGGTGGGCTTCAGCCTATCACCCAATTGTCGCGATAAGACCTTATATGCGATATTCAATAAGCTCATACCGCGGTAATTAGCGCACATGAGATGCTTGCAGGCTACTTTTAACTGCTCACTATTGCACCTTAATGTTAGCTGCCGGACCACTTTTTCAATCGCTAAATTGCGATTTATACCTCGTTATAATAGGACATCGACTTTGTGGTTCTTATCCAGAGACTACGCGCAGGTCTTGAAATCTTCCATAAATCGTGTAACTTACATCAACGATTTAGATCTTCTTCAAATAATACTCGATCATATTTCAGAGAATAGAAAGAAATTATTAAAAAAATCTAATATGTACTTACTCATTACAAAAAAAAAAAATAGGAGCATTTTGAAAACCAGTAAAGCCTTCTTTCGGTCTATTATCCGAGCACTCCCAAAACTCTCCATCTGGGTTATCTTCGGATGATTTAAGGAGTCTGCTTCACAAAATCTTAGGAGATTAGTGGAGTCCCCACGAAGCCTTAGCAGATTATCTGAGTGAGCTTTTTCGGACCCCGAAATCACTCATTTATGGAGTCCTAAATGCACAGTTTTTCAATATACATATGTATATTGAAAGGACCGCTCTCGTGTAGAGGTTGGCAGTGCGCGACAACATTCCGCAGGGCCTGGGCTCGAGCCAGGTTTCCGACCAACATAAACAGAAATTCTAAGAGCGGTCCCTTTGGCAGGCAATGGCAAACTTCCGAGTGTATTTCTGCCATGAAAAATAGCTTCTCATAGAAATACAATCACCGTTCGTAGTCGGCGTAAAACTGTAGGTCCCTCCCTTTTTATGACAACATCAAGGCCACGCCACAAATCGGCGGAGAAGCTCGGCCAAACATTAACATATTGTGTAAGCGCTTATCTATTATTATTATATTGAGCGGGCCATACGCTTCTTTGGGACTCTTTCTTCGGAGCCTCCCTAGGAGCACCAGTGCACCGCACAGTGAGTTGGCTGGGTAGTAACCAGAACTGGACTGTCTCTCCATTCCAGCACGAACATGTTTTGCCCGGAAAACAATAACCATAGCCGGCTCGTAATACGAACACTCTTATTTGAAAACAATTCACCTTCGTATCCCCGTAAGTTGTTCCATTTCATTTGAATGATATTTATTTCTAACATGTTTTTCTTTTATTATTTTTTAACGAACTATTTTCAGGCAGTCAAGTTAAGGCGCATGTTTTTAGTGAAATATTGTTACATACATATACTAAGTACATGCACGCATTAGTGAATAGTGATACAAATTCTTAGCAACACAAAATTATTAGCAACAGGAGCTGATGTTGGTTCAATAAACCGCTGGCGCGCAGAAAAATTCACATACATGAGTACACACTGATGCAAAGCAGTTAAGCATATAATAAATATAGACCGTAAATAGAACATTTAGCGGAGCATTGGCGGACCTTAATTGCTTTGATTGCACCGAAATCCACTTTGATAAGGATATTAACAAATAAATAAATTGCCGGCAAATAGCGATTGATTTTATAATATAATTTCGTGAAGGTTTCTTTTTAAATAGAATCGACGAATCGAAACACATAAATGTATGGCAGGTGAGTTTAGTTTATGCATTCACAGCATACCTTTGCCTTAAGAATAGTACTCAATGTTGACCTAGCGAAGAAATAGTGGCTAAAAAAAAAATACAATTTGTTTATGTATGTTTGTTTCCTTATTTTGAAAATGTGGAAAAAATTTAAAATGAAAAAACGCCGTCACAACAGAACTAGCAATGCGGTACCACATGAACGGCTGCGTGTGAACTTTTGCACAGATTTGGACAAATCAGTTTTGGTGAATAATTTCGAGAAACGCGGTTGGACGCAAGTAAGCCCTGACGATGATTGGCATTTCTATTGGGCAGGCGTGCAGACATGTCGGAATATTTTCAGCGTCGATAGCGGCTATCGCATGCACGATAATCAGTGAGTATCTCTGTTGTGTTTATAATAAATATGTATGTATGTATGTATGTACATTAGACTGCATCCCTAAAAAAAAGTTGCGTTTTTCCGTCGGGATTACAAAATTTATTAGATATATTTGAAGACGTGCACCAAAATATTAAGATTCACGTGTCCGATTTGAAAATACCTCCAATAATGGAGTTTTTTTATGAATAAAAATAGTTTCTTAAAGAATACAAAAAAATCCCCCCGGTTGACAAACCAGTTTAAGCTTAAAAAATCTGCATAAAAATATTTAAATATCTTTTCAACGGAATCGTAATAATGCGAGTTTTGATGTTGATTTTTAACTTTTTTTAAGGATTGGTTTAAGAAAAACTTGGAGAACTAGGCAAAAACTATACCGATTTAGGAAAGATAATTTCCAAATAATTTTTTTAATTTAAGATGTTACCTCACAGGTGATCCCATAACGATAACATTAAATTTTTATATGAGAATTGAATTAAATTTTTGGAGGTATTTTCAATTCGGTCGAGCTCACGTAAATCTTAATATTTCTCCGAAATATTTTGGTGCAAGTCTTAGAATATAATAGATTTTTTAATTCCAATGGAAAAATAGTACCGTGTTTTTTTTTTAATGGGGAGTGATGCAGTCTAATGTACATACATATGTACATCAATGCAAAAAGGAAGTAAAATTTAATAACTTACAGAATGATTAATCACTTTCCTAATCATTATGAGTTGTCACGCAAGGATTTATTGGTGAAGAATATCAAACGCTATCGCAAGGACCTCGAACGTGAGGGCAACCCACTGGCGGAACGTTCAGAGCCAACTGCTGCGGGTGCACCGCGTTATATGTATCTGGACTTTATTCCCATAACATTTGTTTTGCCAGCTGGTAGGTGAATATTATTATCTAAATAATCTATCTGCATTTAACATTTCTATGCAAATACACACATTTGTAAAAGGGGACGCTGAAAAGTTTTGAGCCTAAGTACCTTTAAGTGCGATTAATGTCTTGTCCTGCCCGTCACTAATTACCCGATTAGGCCAAAATAATACGAAATATTTTAATAAAGATCGAATTTTTCTGATTCGTATGACTGTACTTGAAGAAAATGGCCATACGAAGTTGTTTTACTCTCTTTTAAATTTTGTTAAAATAGACTAAAAGGGCCGGTTGTTCAATGTCCGATTAACACAAATTGGAGGTAACAGCTCCGGTTATGCACGATGTCGAAATCGTCGATAAATGTCCGGTCAAATGTCACCAAATTGAGCAAGCGGCCTGGCACTCTGGCAAAAGAGCAGACAACGGTCATTGCTTGAGCTGATCTGCTCGTTTGCTAGACTGCCAGGCCACTAGCTCACTTTGGTGAATACCGCTAATGTTTTTATTGGAAAATGAAAAATTATGAATTACCAAGTCAGGGTTGCTCTATCTTTTGGTCGTGTTACCGACTTCCGGTTTGGACCGGAAGTTAGTTAAACAGACCGGAAGTCCATTGTTTTAACCGGAAGTCTATTCCAGAAAAAAGTTTTTTTATCCTCAGAATCCGAATGTGTAGTAAAAGCATGTATATATGTCTAAAAAAAGATTAATTTCCGGTAAATTTAATCCACTTCCGGTTTGAAGTCAAATTTTTGCGTTTTTTAACCAAAAAAAAATATTTCCCACCCTGTATAATATGGTGAGATAGGAAATGCCATTTTCATTGGGAAATCGCCTCGGAAAATAATAAATTAATCAGCTGTTCTCAAAA